TATCTATCCTAGCTACCCAGAATAGTGATCCGAGTTCCAGCTCCTTCCTTTCCTCCCCCACCTTGCCCTAGCTAAAGCCTTGGGAAATACCTTGAGACTTGAAGTACAAAGCCAGCCTGTGCCCTGCGTGCACTGCTCTAGGCAGCTGACCTCTACTCGTTGAATGACATTTCAGAGACCACCACACAGCAGCCCCCTTCAACCATCTCCTGCTGCCAAGTACAGGAAAAAGTTGAAGCACATTGCTAGCTCTACTTCTGAACTGTTCTGCAGACCCAGCATGGAGAGAAAGTTCATTTGGAGACGATTTTCCAAACTTGCAATGAATGCCGAGGTAACATTCCACAGTCTCTTTGATGAGCCCCTTAAATAGGGAGACACGAGCCCAGCTGCCAGACCACACAGCGTATATGAACGCTGACTTCATTCCTGTAAGGTGGCTGGAGCCTGCTGGCATCTCAAGGAGGGCAGAATTAGGTGCATGACAAGGCTGTCTCCCTAACTCCCAAGCCACTTACTTGCCTGAGAAGTCCTAGCCATGAAGCGTTTAAAAGCAGCGAAGAAACGCTGCTGCACTCTGGCTGGGATCTTTTATGAATTAAGCCCTCCGGCAACTGCCTCCAAGGAGCCAGTGACAGCGGCTTAAAAGTGCTTGCAAATTGAAAAAACACAAGTCTGCAAGGATATAATTTTGCTGAGAATGGAAACTTGAACTAGAGCCAGTGATCGGAAATGAGAAGTCAGTGCGTTGACAGCGGCAGCCGCGGAGGCTAGATTCACCTAAAGAGACTTTACTGCACCCTGTGTAAGAGCAGAGGCTTGCAGCCCGAAACCCAAGCCCAAACTCAGTCCACGAAAGTCCCCTTCCAAAGAGAAAAGTTGCACAGGCAGCCGCCAGAACGCTCCTGCTTTCCGAGCACAGCGTGGATCTGTTTAAATTTTCTGAATATGCAAAGACAGCAAGTTGTCTAAGAGCTCCTTTTCAGAAAAGCAAATTAAACTTCACTTTAACTTTGACTTTCTGGGCATAAGTGCAGAGAATTCCCGATTCTTGGCTCCAAAAAGCACATTTTAAAAGCTTTCTTATTGTCTAAAATGTAACTTTTAATCTGTGACATGCCTTCTAAATAAAGTCCTGACGAATTCCACACATACACAGAGACAGACACACACGAACATGGTCTTAAAAAAGCAAACGCCTGCACCTGTGAAAGGAAAAGCACACCCCAAGTTCATAGCCATGCTTTCTAGCCCCGAGCCATAGGCAAGATTTAAAGGAGCCTCTTAAAACAGCAGCGCGGAAGCCCTGTGGAAGCGGAAGGTTTAGCATAAGTACCTTGCAATAGTTCTACCCGTACAGATATCTCTGCAATTGCATTCACCTCCCGGAGCTCTTTGCACGGCTCCCACAGAACTGCACATTCAGCAACTTGTAAATAACTCCCAGTTCTGAAACAATGCAAATTCTAAGCGGATAACAATTCCCGGCAAAAGAAAACAGTGCACAGTTTAAATACAATTCCCCAATGAGTCCAAAGAATAAGAGATATTTACCTTCAAGAAATCACAGAAGCAGCACTTAAATAATTGAGTTGGAAGACTGCTGATTTTTCCCATTGCTTCTGCAGTACAAAGTCTGGAAGTGAATTGGTGAGCAGGAATAATGAGGCAAAAAGAAATCCAGAGAGATGGGAGATGTTAAGAGCAATGTCACATTTCAATTTTGAGGACTTTATTCCATTGCGCAGGCTCTATCTGCTCCGAATTTAGCAGTGACAGTGAGATTTAGCAAACAGAAGAGGGATTTAGAGAAAATCCTCACATTTATCTACAAAACACAGACACTGTAGACAGGAAACAGCTGGGGGAGCATTTGCCTTCTCTCTCTCTCCCTCTTCTGGCAAAGTTATCGAGTAAGGACTTTTTTGGGCACAGTGACAAATAACATCATACCTTTGCTTTTAAAAACTGGAGCACAGAAGCTTTTTTTTTTTCCTTAAAAGAATGTGTGTTACTGACAGGGTTAGCAGACATTAAACACTGATGCTGCCATAGAAAACAGGGGCTGTTCTCTGATTAACTTTCCACAGGACATGAAGGTACACATGTCTGTCATACACCTTACTGGGATTAGAGGTTCTAAGTGGGACAAGGGAGCAATTTTATATTTTAGGGCAAATAAAAATTTGAGAAAAAAAAGGAAGAAAAGATCATCTCCAGAAAGTCCAACGATGTTAACCTTGAGATGACCAGGCTAAACTAGTTTGAAAGGCAGCACTCCGGTGACCCCTTGTCCTAGTTGCCAAGCCAGGAGAATGATCTCATTTCCTAAAACCTATAGATGGCAGGCAGCAGTGGGCTGGCTCCCATTAGGACACTGTATCGTGCTTTGTGCAGAGAAAAAGACTATGCGGAGCTCTGGAACCAACTGAAAAATAAAAAGACCTTATTTTTCAACAAAGCTGGATGCCTGTCACCTCCTTAAACCCAAGGAAACAGTATGTGGGGCACACACTGGTTCCCCTTTGGCCATATTTTTTCTGCATAACTCCGTGTGTGCGTGTGTGTGTGTGTGTGTGTGTGTGTGTGTGTGTGTGTGTGTGTGTGCATGTGCGTGTGTATTCCAATAACATCAGCTGGCTAGCAATACCCTCTCCAGAGTTATGATGTCATTCAAATCCCTCAACTGGGTAAGTGGCTGGCAGCATGGTTCAAGCTGGCTGCTTCACTATTTATAATGTATACTTGCCTTTGCCGTAGAGAATTAAGTTCTGATCCTTTGTTGATATGGTTTGTATCTATTTCTCAGTGGTTTTGAGATATAGATAAGAAAGTGAATTATGAAAGAAGGTTACAAAAGCCAGATTAGATTGTGCTTTCCTTGGATGTCTCTTAGGTGTGGTTTCTCAGGGGAGATGGAAATGAGCCTGACTCTCTTTGCTCTCTCATGACTCTCCAGGGATTTGAAGATACTGATACATCAGTGGAGAGAGCGGTCAGCAGGAAACTATACACTGCCTCGTTAGTCTGCCCATGGCTGGAGATCTGCTTTGCAGAGGTGGATGTCCTCAAATGAAACCAGTTTGATTTTGTAAGGGGTTTGGGCTTGTTCCAACCTTCTGTGTGGTCAATACTTTATGGCAATGTTTACCTTTCAGACACAGACGTTGGAACCCTGGAGTTAGGCGGTTCCAGTGGTGGGTGTTGCTAGGTATCATCAGATGAGAGAACCTACTATGTGCCCAGTTACACATACCTGTAGAGAAGCAAAAAAGGAGCACAAAACAGGCACAAAGAGAGAAACTTCACTGCCCCATGTTGAAGTGCAGTGCACAGTGGGAAGGGTAATAATTTCTCAGGGAGGTGAGAGTTAAAACCTTTTTTTGGAAGTGAAGAATGGCAGAGAAGAGAAGGCAATGTGAGAGGCACAGGGCTGGGAAGTTCTTGTGGGTAGGATTGACTCAGAGAACACACAAAACTGCATCATCACCCGGTGGTCCTGGCATATGTGCAGTTGTGTGGGCAATCCCTGCACACAGAGCAATTCAGGGTTCCCTCTAGCAACAAGCTCTCCTGGAGCATTTGACTTAAGATTATGTATGGAGATCTTTTTCTTTTTCGTAGAAAATAAAATAAATAAAAGTCCCTCTTCCTCTTAAGGGTTTGATGATGTACATAATATGGAATCAAAGACCTGTTGAGAACTTCTTAGTTTCTCAGTCAGGAGAATAAGGTTCAGGCAGGAGTCCAGGTAGCAACCCCTTCCTTGTTCTACCATGGGATTCCTTCACAGGCAAGCCAGCACTATCAATCACTTATGCCCCATACAGATGTAGTGTACTTTAATGTCTCAATACATTCTAGAAGCTTGCTACATGTCTCCAAGTTTGCAACTGTGGCTCCCATGCTTTCTGGGCACTGTGCTGTGCTGTGTGGTGCCATGGTGTCTGTGCAGTGCTGGGCTGCACCATGCTGTGATGTGCTGTGCAGTGCTGTGCTGTGCTGTGTAGCTGTGCCGTGCAGTGCAGTGCTGTGCTGCACTGTGCTGCGCTGAGCAGTGCTGTGCTGTGATGTGCTGTGATGTGCAGTGCTGTGCAGTGCTGTGCTGTGATGCGCTGTGCTGTGCAGTGCTGTGCTGTGCTGTGCAGTGCAGTGCAGTGCTGTGCTGTGCAGTGCTGTGCTGTGCAGTGCTGTGCAGTGCTGTGCTGTGCTGTGCTGTGATGTGCTGTGCTGTGCTGTGCTGTGTTGTGCAGTGCTGTGGTGTGCTGTGCTGTGCTGTGCTGTGCTGTGCTGTGCTGTGCTGTGCTGTGCTGTGCTGTGCTGTGCTGTGCTCTGATGCGCTGTGCAGTGCTGTGCTGTGCTCTGATGCGCTGTGTTGTGCTGTGCTGTGCTGTGCAGTGCTGTGCTGTGCAGTGCTGTGATGCGCTGTGCTGTGCTGTAATGTGCTGTGCTGTGCAGTGCTGTGATGTGCTGTGCTGTGCAGTGCTGCGCTGTGCTGTGCAGTGCTGTGCTGTGCAGTGCTGTGCAGTGCTGTGCTGTGCTGTGCTGTGCTGTGCTGTGCTGTGCTGTGCTGTGCTGTGCTGTGCTGTGCTGTGCTGTGCTGTGCTGTGCTGTGCTGTGCTGTGCTGTGCTGTGCTGTGCTGTGCTGTGCTGTGCTGTGCTGTGCTGTGCTGTGCTGTGCTGTGCTGTGCTGTGCTGTGCTGTGCTGTGCTGTGCTGTGCTGTGCTGTGCTGTGCTGTGCTGTGCTGTGCTGTGCTGTGCTGTGCTGTGCTGTGCTGTGCTGTGCTGTGCTGTGCCATGCCGTGTCTTGATGTGCCATAATGTTATGCTATGCTGTGCATAGAACAGATCACATTATTCCTGACTGCTTCATCTGAAGGTCTGCTTTGAGGGCAGAACACAGACCATTTCCTCAGATACTGCGCTCCAGCAGTGTCAACAACACAGGGACTCACTTGTTTTATAACCCCACTTACCCTTAAAGGATAATTGAGTTTTAATTTATGTCCCAATCAAAGTGCATGGTAATCGTCATCAGCTGTGCTGTGGAAACACTCTATGGAGAGTGGGGCTGGGGGGTGGTTTCCTGGAGGGATTCACATACATTTCAGACTAGAAAACTATCTGTGTTAGCAGGGAGGGTGAGCCAGCAGCAGAACAGGGGCAATGTCCATGCTCTTTGTAAGTTCTAGAAGTCAATGTGAAGATGAAAGGGCCTTTAACCATGGGACAGGGCAGGAGGCGTATCTACTGCAAGCTCAAGGTGGTAATAGTTTAGTACCCAGGAAAAGATCAGGGCAGAAAGCCACCCTGGAGAAGAATAGCTGAGGTCATTTTGAAGTTGCTGGATGCTTACACAGTTGCCTGTGTGGAGAAACAATCTAACAGATACAGGAACTGTATCCCACAAAAATAGCTACCTGCAAAGATGCGCTCATCATGAGAACATCCACCCTGGAGCCTCAGGCTCCCTCACAACCTCACCTTTCACATGTGTAACGCCTGTCGGAACCCCCCCCCCCCCCCCGCCTTCTACTTGAGTGGTCTATTTGCATAAAGCCACAGCTCCGGAAGACTTCTCACACCTTTCTTAAGAAATAAATAAAACAAGAGAAGGTTGCCTGAGAGCAACAGAAAATGGGGCAATAGCTGATCCCCTGGTCTTTTTGCTTGAGTCATATTTGCCAATTTTCTCTCTGTTCCTTCAAAGGTTATGCTGCATCTCTGCACAGTTAGACATATAAATTGTGTCTTTACTACTGTTGCTGTCATTGATGTCAGTGTGTGTGTGTGTGTGTGTGTGTGTGTGTGTGTGTGTGTGGAGGTGTGTGTGTTTGTGTGTGTGTGTGTGTGTGTGTGTGTGTGTGTGTGTGTGTGTAGGTATGTGTGTTTGTGTGTGTGTGTATGTAGGTGTGGGTATATGTGTGTATGTGTGTGTGTAGGTATGTTTGTATGTGTGTGTAGGTGTGTGTGTGTGTAGATATGTGTGTCTGTGTGTGTATTTATGTATGTATGTGTGTGTATAGGTATGTGTGTTTGTGTATGCATGTGTGTGTGTAGGTATGTGTGTTTGTGTGTGTAGATATGTGTGTATGTATGTATGTGTGTGTATTTACACCTGTGTATATAGGTCTATGTGTTTGTGTGTGTATAGGTATGTGTGTATGTGTGTAGGTATGTTTATGTGTGTATGTGTAGGTAAATGTGTGTGTGTAGGTATGTGTGTATGTGTGTGTATGTATGTCTGTGTGTAGGTGTGTGTGTAGGTATGTGTGTAGGTGTATGTGTGTGTGTGTAGGTGTGGATGTGTATGTGCCTGTGTATGTGTGTGTGTGAAAGTACAAAAGAGATATTTGAGGAGAGAAATATCGGAAAGAATGAGGAAGAGAAGAAAAAGTGAATGATGGGACATGTGACCTGAAAGCAGAAGAAGCAGCTATTTAGGGCCAAGAGAGGAGCAAAGAGGAGGGGGAGGGGAGAATAGAAGTTCTGGGTGGAGATTTGGAGGAAAGGTACTTTAGAGTCCAGAAGGCCTTCGTAAAGATCTTGGCGTCTCTGTTGGGTTGTTCTTTGTAGGGACGGTTGCTCTGAAGTGTGATCCTTTGAGGTGAAAAGCT